TGCTCAGTTCCGACCTGCGAACGGCAGGATGCAATCGAAGCGGCCCGGCGAGAAGATAGAGAAAGGTGAGTGGTATGGACCGACTGGGGTTGCCATGGGAACCCAGCTGCTGAAAGCAGGCAGCCTCAGTGTGCTGGTGCTGCTTTGGCGGCGTGACAGTAACTATGCCTCCCGCAGGCCACCAGGCGCAATAGCACCCACTCCTGAGAATCCTCACACTTAGACAGAACCACAACAAGAGATGCACTGCATGTATTTTAGACATTCGTTGTGTCTCTTGTGTCTTATTCAACAACTGGACACTCACCAATCAGATTATATTCTGGCATGCCAAAAATTGAACTGGCTGATTGCGTGAAAATCGGAATTTCTCACATCTCAAAGTTTCAACAAGAGATCGTGGACAATGATTTGATTCACTTCTGAAGTGCCGGAAATTCAACTGATGGGTCACATTGCAAATGGCTACATTTTTGGCATGATTTCCACGTTTTTCCTTCACTGCGCAAACTGGGCGATCAGCCGTCGAAACTCGTGTTAGTTACAGAGAGTGTTGTTCGGGTTGGTTTTAGCATAAGCCTTCCAAGTCCATTAGCGGCTATACCAGCTAAGGTGTTAGTCACTGCTTGTTCCCAACTTTCGATTTCTGGCAGAGAGAGAAAAATCTCAGTGTCGACAGGTCGCCACTCAACATCCAAACAAAACGGACTATCGGAGCTGTATCAAAACTCTCACCCGATGGTTCTGGCGGCGCTATTTTTACATACTTTTCTGTTTCCGCTACATCCATGGTCGAAAGGGGGCGCATTGATTTTATTTTAGTTACAATATTTATATATTTATGTTTTGTTTTGTTCTACACAATTCTGTTTGCCTCCATTTTAAGATGGACATTGAGCAGCGACATGCTACTAGCATGTACTACCTCTCAGCATGGCCACGAGAAAGGCCGAAACACGGCCGCCTTGACATAGAACAGCCACTTTTTGTTTACACCAGATTTGGTTTGACTTTCAGGAGTGTCTCCGTTCTGCTGTTCCTATATTTAGGACGGGTCCACAGAGCCGCTGATTGATTGGTCTCATTCGGCGATCCATCTCGTCCGTACGGCGTTCTTGTTCCTGTTTGGATGGATAGCCTGAGATCTTTCTGTTGGCTGACCGACAAGACACTGGGATGACTGTAGATTACTTTCACGTAGTTGACATTATCTTATCTCTAATCTAGCATATTGACGTAATTTTTTAGGCTTGATATATCTTTTATATAGTTACTTCACATTTCATCGTCTATGCTTTTGCTATAGTTTTGGATTCACCACCGATGTTTTATTTATTTTTTCGTTAACTGTGAATTGCCTTTTAGGGTGTGGGGGGGCACAGTGGTGTCCGTCGTCATATATATTGCACATGCGGTGGTGTATTTCAATTTGCGATAGACCGATATGTATTTTTCAGGGCCGATACCTAGCCAACCATCAACTTCTTTCCGCTTCTATGGATAAACTTACAGATACATCAACACTGCAGTAGGTGCAAAAAAAAAAAATCTGACTTGTCACTTAACTTAGTAAGCAGTATACTTCCTGGTTTGTGAACTTAAAAGGTACATCAACACTATGAGGGCCTAAATGGTGCAGCGAAATCAACAGCAGAAAAAAGTCTGAATGATGTCGCCTGAAGCAGCTAGCCTCAGTTGAGTTGGCTACTTCTTGGTTCATGAAAGATAATGTGAATGTACAAGTTCCATAAGCGCCACAGTAGGATCACAGTCACACGGATTAATTTCTGCTCTGCCAAAAAGTCAACTGACATGTTGTGCAATAATCATTTAAATTTGGAGCGTTTCGCTCATTTCAAATGAAACAAAGCTAGAAGGTTTGGTGACTTTTTCTGGCATCGGGCAAAATAGCCGATCAGCTTTTTAAACTGATGTTGCAAAGGGTATTGTTGGCTTTGTTTTTAGTTTTAGCAGTCCAAAAATGCAAGGGAAGTTCTTAAACCAAAAAACTGAATCCAAAGATGCCCAAAGCCTTCTTTCTGCCTTGATTGGTGGAACGGACAACTACCTTTGGGGGGGGGACATGTTTACAGCCGACAGTAATGTTTGTTGTCTCAATACAATCAACGCTTACAATGAAAGTCATTGTGAAAATATGGTTATCAGTACTTTTTTCCACCTCGAATTAAACTATTTTTTTTATAACGCTTGAATGGGTACATTTGCGAATACTGTATTTTGATACTGATTTTTTTTTTTTTTTTTTTTTTTTTTTTTTATTTGTTTTAAGGGTTTAAGCATTGGTTCCTGTTAAAATAGATATACACGACAAAAAGGAAGCTCTCTTCCTGTCCGTGTGATGGTGCTGCTGGCGCGTGCGGCCCTGACCAGCGGGTCGCATACAGGCTGGAGTTAAAAAGTACATAATGCTGCCAGCCCGGGCAGTTCAAAATATGGAAACTATTGATCGGGCCTGCGGACCGCGCTGCTAATTAAAGATGTTGTGCTATTTGTAAAAAGTCAAGCCAATTATCAAATGAACACATGAGTGTTGCAGTGGTTGGATTTGTTTCTAGTGGCGATCACTTTATTTGTTGAGTACAAGTGCCTTGTTTTACCGTGATCCAAGACGCAAGACCCTGAGGCTTCCCCCTCCCCCCCTCCCTTTTTGGGGGGCGGGGGGACTAGATGGGTGGCAACATGTGACCTGGACCGCATGGGGCCCGAGGCGCCCACCGCATCAAATGTCCCTGTCTGTATTTTGCCATCTCTCATACTCTGTTCTCTGTAGCGAAAAAAAACAGCGAGGGATTCAATTGTCTCATTTATAAACACAGACAAGCAAATATGATCCTGTATATAATTGGAAAGTCAATGATTAATTCTAAAGAGGAACCTTTTACAACAAACATAGCAGCACTTGTTGGCGTCCAACTTGTTATTCCACACCCAAAGTTAATTCATATATTGCAAACCACCAAGGTGTTTAATGTAATGTTTTGACTGGATCTGAATCCTTGACCCTCATTGCCTTTTTCTGGTTGCTGTATGTCTCCGCCATACTAACTACACCAGTGGTGTCACATGACAGTCACAAAGCACTCGGTAATTATACCATTGTTCAACCGTGCAGGGAAAAGGCGGACTAAAATACTCCCATGCTGATGCCTCAGTGCGCCAACCACAATAATACAGGAACATACCACAGGAAACGGTCCCGAGCGGATCGACTCGATCAAAACTTCCATCCATGATCACGCGTGGCGTTTATAAATCTCGCGAGACTCCAACTCAGTAACGATGAACTCCATAAGTGTTCTTTAAAGGGAAAAAATGTAAGTGTAGAACACACTACAACAATACTATATCAATTATAAAATATGACATACGCTAATTCATAGATTATGTCGACGCACGAAAAGTGCTCCTACCACAGCTTGAGACAGACTTGTGATCAATATTGGATAAAAATAGACCTTTTGTTTACACCGGAAAAGTCTGGAGTTTAGCTCATGGAAATTGGTAGCAAAAACGAAAATGTTACATCTATAGTTTTGTTCAGTGTAAATTTAATCGGTGGAAAACAGATTTATAAATTGGATGTATTCTTAAAAAAACAAACAAAAAAAAGAACTAAAATAAACGATAGCAATTTGTGTACACACACATATTTGCATATATATAATGGATTTTTTTTAATCATAATTTGGAGGTTTCTGTAGGATGATGAAGTGAGCAAGCAAAAATATTTTTAAAAAGTCATATATATGTAAATATGCAATAAGTACTGTAACTCTCAATGATGTAGCTCTTGTGCTGGCGAATTAAGTGTCCACTGATATCGCTGCTTTGTGTTGCTGCTCTGTTTATAATCGTTCTAATATTATAATGAGAGTTGAATGTTCCGAACTGTAATTGTATTGTCTGAGTCTTGCCTGGTGGTCACCAAACCGGGTTGGGTCCTGCCTTGTGTCCTGAGCTAGGATGTTGATGCTACATCCGATGCTATCTCTCACACACACACACACACACACACACACACACACACACACACACACACACACACTCTGCCTTATGTAATCTCTCCAGCTAGTGGGGAAGTTGAGACCAAAAATAGCTCTGGCTGAGCAGACCTGCCCCCTTGTGGACACAACCCACCTCTGCACACCCTCCCCTCTGTCAGCTATCACGGCTTGGAGCTAAAATGCATGACTGGGAGAAAAAAAACGGGGCTGAGAGGACTTGGTAGTTTGATTTTAACAATAAGTGGACGGTATTGACTGCAAAGATGCCATAAATGCTGCTCATTTGACTTGTGCCACGTTGTCTTTGATGTTTCCAAAACTTTCATTGAGAGCAAATTATTTTTAAGCTTTCTCCATGTTTCCGACAACTCGTATGGCCGACTCATGGACAATGTACAATTGTTTTAAAAGTTTACGCAAATGTGGACCTTAGGCACAAGCCTATTTTGTTTCTGATGATGACTATATATATATATTTTTTTCAGGTCTATATTATCCTCGGCGTTAACAAAAAGCGGTCATGTTTTTGAAGACATAAACGCTAAGCGCTTTGTTGCAGGTGCAGCTGTTGTGAAAGCAATCGATCAATAAAGTCTCGTTTTGAAGTTAAATTGCTTGATATTTACATAAACTTGTATGGTATGCTTGTTGAATACATT